CGAAGAAGGCACCGCGTTCGCGTAGTAGTAGCCTATCCTCTCATCGCGTTCGCGGCCACTCTCCCGCGTTCGCGTAGTGTAAGTCTGGAGAGGGGGGCCCGTTCCTCTTCGCGTTCGTATAAGATCACCCGCATCCGCGTAGCTTCACTATTTCCTTCATCGCGTTCGCGTAAGCCTTGTCGCGTTCGCGTAGTTCTTGATCCCCTGGCCTTCGCGTTCGCGCTCCTCCCTTCGCGATCGCGAAGGGCATTTTTGGGCCCTGATATTTTTCTTCTTCGCGAACGCGTGCTTCCTATCGCGTTCACGATGCTTTAGACTCCTAAACAGTACTTAACATTTCAAAAACGAGGTTTTGCCATATTTATCAAAACTCAAGGTTTGGAGCTCGGATTTGGGAGCAATTTCAAGGGTTTTTCAAGGGAAATCACCGGATAACGATTCTCTACTCTCCTATGACTAAAACCCATTAATCTAATCGCAAATTCACCCTTTAATTTCGTGTTTTTGAATGGGAAGTGGGTAAACTTCTTAGACCTAACTATGGGGTTTTGAGGGGTCATTTGACCTCCGATTTGGGAGATTTTTATATGGTTAGACTCGTGAGAGTACGAGGGTTCTGAAAACGTAAAAATTATTCGATTCCGAGACGATGGCTGGAGGGGCATTTTGGTCATTTTACCTATTTTCGCACCCTAGCTCTAAATTTAATAGTGGAATCAGTTGTTTGCAATATTATTTACGATATGTAATTGAATTGAATAGATTTGGGCCATTTGGAGTCGGATACTCGTGGCAAAGGCGTGGTTTCTATTGATATTGAGCCGGTTCGAGGTAAGTGGCTTGTCTAACCTTGTGTGGGGGACCTTTCCCCTTAGGATTTGTTATTTGTTGATTTGAGTGCCTTGTACGCGAGGTGACGGGCGTGTACTTGAGCTAATTGTTGGAAACCCGGTTTTTCTTAAGATATTGAGATTTAGTTCCTTTCATTTTGCTTTATTATACTTGCAATTATAACCTGTGCTAGATTAGGAAAGCATGATTAGTTGATTTAACTTGCCTAATTGCTTAAGATGCCTTAATTGTACTACGTGAAGCATGCTAGGCCAGTACTACCTGTTGCTTGTCTTTCGTACATCGTTTCCGTGTACCTTCTGGTTGTGACTGCGCACTTACATTGGGACTACGGATGTGGGATTCCGGTAGCTCCCCCCCTTGTTTGTTTACTTTGGGACTACGGGTTCGATTCCCGGTAGATCCCCCCTGCACTTTTACTTTGGGACTGCGGGTTAGATTCCTGATAGATCCCCCTGCACATTGATAGTTGGACTACGGGACGGCATCCCGGGAGATCCTTCGGATATACACTTATGATGGACTACGGGACGGTATCCCGGGAGATCCACTGGACCGTTGAGAAAAGGACTACAGGACGGTATCCTGGGAGATCCTCATTGTTACCATTGGTGTTGAGCTGTACTTATTCTGTGGTTGTTCCGTTCTTGTGTATTTGCTATTGCCTTGTTTAACCTCTCTTATTACACTGTTGTATTTATTAATTCTGTCAGATTATCATCCTGTTAATTATTGTTATTACTATATTTTGTCTCAGTATGGCCCATACCTTCCTCGTCACTACCCGACCGAGGTCAGGCTTGGCACTTACTGAGTACCGCTGTGGTGTACTCATGCCCTTCCTGCGCATGTTTTTTTCATGTGCAGATCATCCAGGTACCTCTACTCAGGCGCCCTATCAGTGAGGCGGGAGGACTACGGAGACTTCGAGGTAGATCTGCTGCGTCCACAGACCGACGAGTCTCCCTCTTATTCTATCTTTAGTACCTAGTTTTTCCTTCTTTCAGTTGTTAGAAATTCTGGAGTTGGGAACCTTTACTATACACTTCTGTAGCCTGTGTTGCCCGTGAGTTTCCGCATTTTGGGAATTGTTTTAGACTTGTGATATTGAGTTGTACTTGCCAAGCGGCAATCAGTACATGCCACATGGTTAGGGACTGCCCCAGACTTGGTAGGGGTGCATCTTCACAGGCTGCTCAGCCGCAGCGTGCTCCTCAGAGTTCTCAGGCCATGATCACAGCTCCAGCAGCTACCCCACCTGCCCAGCCGGCTAGGGGCGGAGGTCGGAGAGATAGAGGTTGCCCTCGAGAGAGGGGCCGGGCCAGATATTATGCTATTCCTGCTCGTACTGTGGCTGTTGCCTCCGACTCCGTCATTACAGGTATTATTCTGGTTTGTCATAGAGAGGCATCGGTTCTATTCGATCCGGGCTCTACTTACTCTTATGTGTCTTCTTACTTTGCTCCTCATTTGGGTGTGCCTCGGGATTCTTTGAGTGCCCCCGTTTATGTTTCTACTCCTGTGGGAGATTCTCTTGTTGTGGACCGCGTTTATCGGTCATGTTTGGTTACTATTCGTGGTTTTGAGACCAAAGCAGACTTATTATTACTCGGTATGGTGGATTTTGACATTATTCTGGGCATGGACTGGTTGTCGCCCCATTTTGCTAATCTTGATTGTCATGCCAAGACCGTGACGCTGGCTATGCCAGGTGTTCTGCGTATTGAGTGGAGTGGTACTTTAGATCACACTCCCAGTAGAGTTATCTCTTTTC